CCCCCCAACCTCTCTCATTTGCTTCAACTCAGTTGTGAACTTTCGCAATTCACCCCTGGGTAGTGCTAGGCCCACGGTATATTCTAGTATAGAGGCGATTTACACTTTTTCAAGACCAAATATCAATTTAAACTATTCAAAAAATGATAACGGATTTAAAAAAACAAACTCAGTCAAATCAAATTCAACAAAGACAGTTCAAACAACAAAATAGGGAGAGCAAATGTAACAATTATTAAGCTCAAACACCAAAATAGAGCTATGAAATGTAACAATAGAAAGTCCAATTTTTAACATAATTCCACATAGATTTACGCATAGTAGGCCAGTCCACTTGATTTTGATTTTTGACGGTCTATTTGTCTGTCTGTCTGTCAGTCGTGTCTGTCTGTCAGCCAGTATGTCTGTCTTGTCTTGTCTTGTCTGTCTTTCTGTCTTGTATGTCTGTCTTGTCTGTCTACCCCCATCACCCTCTCTCCCTCTCTATCATCCTCTCACTCTGTCCGTCTACCTGGACTCTTCTTACAACAAGGCATTTGTTCGAAGGAGCCGCGACATTTGACCGACAAATGGCAGGGCAATTCGAAGACCTGTGTTTATTTCGCCGAGAGCGAGACCATCAGTGTGCCTTTCGACTACTGAAACCAGCTTATCTCTCATTTCTGTGGTTACTTTCTCAAGTCTCATCCCACCCCGTGTTTATTGTTTTTCTCTCTTTAAAAAACAAAACAAACGGTGCCTTCAGTTCCGATGGCTGGGCCCACGGTACTGTATGTAGTGCTTCGGTCTAGACGGTCAGAGAACCGTATAAGTACGTATAGGCTTCGGTTGATTTGCGACATGTATTTTGCAAGCATAATGTAATAATAATAGATAGCAGTTGTATAACGCTAATTCCCCGCTCAACAAAAAGCTCTCTATGAGCTTTACAACCTATACTATTACCCCAGCAGACCTGAGAGCACTCTGAAGCTATCTCAACTTCCTGGGAAGCATACTACAATGCAAACTGCCATATATAGGCGCTAAAACACTAACATACTAACAAGATCTTTCGCTGCCTATAGCTTGGTTCCCATTCCCACCTAGGTGAAGTGAGGAAAATTCGTGTAAAGTGCCTTTCCCAAGGACACAACATCGGGCCCGCGGCTCGAAACCCCGAACCAGCAACCCCACGATTACGACTCTGGTAGGCAACCGACACCAAATAATCGTCACCTCGCAGAACGCCTTCGTATCACCCCTCCC